TATTTTTTCACATAAATAACTATTGGTATTAATTATGTAGGAGTGCATATAAATATTTTTTTTATTATAAATTAATGTCTTGCTCTTACAAAAAAAGAAAATGGGATTGATACTCAACAACAATATTATCATCACTTTTAAGCAATTTATAATTATTTTTAAGTTTTATTTAGCGACCGAATAGAATTTCGTCGCTAATTTTAACTAATATTTAGCGACCGAATTCAATTCCTTCGCTAATTTTAACTAATATTTAGCGACCGAATTCAATTTCGTTGCTAATTTTAACTAATATTTAGCGACCAAATTCAACTCCGTCGTTAATTTCAACTAATATTTAGGGACCAAATTAAATTTCATCGCTAATTTTAACTAATATTTAGCGATCGAATTCAACTCTTCCGCTAATTTTAACTAATATTTAGCAACCGAATTCAACTTCGTCGCTAATTTTAACTAATATTTAGCGACTGAATTTAATTTCGTCGCTAATTTTAACTAATATGTAGCGACCGAATTCAATTATGTCGCTAATTTTAACTAATATTTAGCGACCAAATTCAATTCTGTCGCTAAATTTAATTAATATTTAGCGATTGAATTCAAATCCGTCACTAATTTTAATTAATATTTAGCGACCGAATTTAATTTGGTCGCAACATTTTTTACAATTTAGTAGCTAGCGACCGAAATAGAGACCGAATTTCTAGCGACGTCTTATTTTGGTCGCTAAATCAGTCGATATTTTGATTATTCAGAATCGGTCACTAAATCAGTCGCTAAATAGCGATTGATAAATTTCGGTCGCTATTTTGCATTTTTCTAGTAGTGTAGTGAGATTGTTTGGCAACATCCAACAAGCACTATGGCTTAGTTGTTTTTGTTTTCTTCATTTCTTAATTGTTGAAAGTTTAAGGTTTTAAAGAAAGTAGTATCTAGGAAATACAGGTGAATGTAAACATTTGCTAAAAGTGCCATCTATAAGATTTTCAAATACATAATGGATAAATTCTTGTGTATCAACATTTATTTTTCTAAGAAGTATTATTTATATATACTACTAATTTAGAAAAAACCAATTGTACACTTCTAATAATTGAGTTTGGTCATTAACGAGTCAAACTATTTGTGAATTATTCAAACTTGACTAATCAATTACTCATTCAAACTCATTTACTTATTTAAATAAATAAACTCAAATTTGATATTAGACTTGATTATTTAAATGAGTTGAGTTCAACTATCTAACTAAAATAAAGGTTGGCCAACCTCTCTAAGGATACCTAATTATTGTAAATCGAAAGAAAATGGGTTGATTTAGTCAACTTATCCACTTTATATTTTATATTTCACTTATCACTTCTGTGTGGATATAAAACATTGATGAGTTATTTTGTATTTGTATTTTATAAGATATATTTTTACTAGAGAAATATAATCTAATTTTATTCATGAGTTCTGTACGTTCTCTAGTTATATCTTCACCTATATGTAATTGGTTCCTCCTTCACTAAATTTAAAGTAAATTATACTCTTCCCTTTCATATGAACACTAGGCACTTCTTTTATTGTTTATATCATTAATCACACAATTTTTATTCTCAAATAACACTTTCCAGCCTTTTTTCAACAATTGAGCATCACTCAATAAATTTTGATTAATATTATTAGGAATGTATAAACATTAGATTTTAATTTCAAACTTAAATAGCTTTTAATAACAATTGTTCTTTGTTCCTTTTATCGCAATGTGTACTCCATATTCCTCATTTGGACTTGAGAGATATCAATTTGTTAAGTTCTTTAAAGAGCTCTTGGTCATAAGTCATAAGGTTTGTACAACCACTATTAATAAGTTAAACCTTTGAAAGGGTTTTTCGTGTTTAAAGCATGACATTGAGAGTAGTTGTTGTTGTTGTTCTTATATTTTCAACAACGTTGACTTTTTCTTGCTGCTTATGAGGTGTGCATCATTTTTCCATGTCTCCTATATTGCTCACATTTGTAACATTCTGGGCTTCCACCTACATCTTTGTTGTGAATGACCAATCTTTTTGTAATCAAGACATTGTGAAAAAATTTGAATGCTATTATTGTGGTTGCTCTCTTGGAATGGTTTCTTCTTCTTGTTTTTACCATCATTGTTGTTCTTTCATTTGTCTAAATATATACTCTCTACAATTCCTTTTTATCTCTGTTTGTGGAGGATTTCGTTCGTAGGTTCTTTTTGTTTGAACTAGCACGAGTTCACGTTTCAATTTATGCGTGTTCGTGACATGATAGAATCGAAGACTTTCCGTGAAAGAATAAATTCGTACAAGCAACGAATAGAGTTAATTGATTAGGGTGTTGATTCAGCACATCAGAAGATCTATGCTCGTTATTTCGAGCACTTCAGAAGATCTATGCTTGTTTCAGCACATCAGAAGATCTATGCTAATTGTACAATCAAATTCATGCATGTAATAATTTACGTGAATTAAACAGATGACATGTATGTATATTGACTGCAGAAATCATATCCTTCATTAAATGGTAACAGAATTACAATTCGTAAGGATAACGAAACATGTTCAGAATGACTACACTACACTAGGCTAGATTAGGCTATGCTACGCTACTCCTAAAAAAGGAAAACAAAGGTGGTCGAGAAATCGTACCCAAAGCTGTCTCGTATGCACAGTATGCCTTATGTGCAGGCTGCGGAGTGCGTGTGAGGTATTGTGGGAATTAGATTTCTGACCCTTTGCTACGAGCATGGCTCGTTTAATTTATAGACAAAGATCTGGGAAAGATAACGGTTTTTGACGTGTCCCGAAAATGCATAACTGTCCTAAACTTCCACATAGTGGCTTATTCTTGGGCACGTCTTTGGATAACCTCTGGAACCGCTCATTTAACTTCCCCAAACCGTTCTTCAGTCTTTAACACTTACCCATGTTACTTCAACCACTTTTAAATCGTGTCTCCTTTAAGTTCTCCATTCTGAGAGGTTACGAAGTGTATTCGTGTATGTCCGGATTCTTGGGATTTCGAGTAACCAACAAAAACTATACTTGAATGTTTCCTGATTTTGCTTGTACTTTGAGAGGTTGCGAGGCTGTGAGCCCTTTTCTTGAGCATTCTTCCTGGTTCGAGGATTTCGAGAGTTTCACGAAAAATGTCTTCGCGTATCTCTTGATTCTCTTCAAGCTTCGTATGCCTTCTTTAGAAACTTCTCTACCATTTTTCGACCATCTAGGATTTCGAGCATCCCTGTATTTCGAGTATCTCCGGATTCATTTTCTGGTACTAACAATCTCATAAGCCTACTTCACTCTAATAATTTCCATGCGTGTAACACTTTTGTTAAAGTAATTTTACTCAAATCCTTTGTATTCTAAGACTATTATTAAAGGTTCATATCTTTCAAGTATGATTATTAAAAAGTTTTCAACAATTCTAGAATCAATGAATTGTTTGCCTGGTAATCATACCTTATTGACAATGTCAATCAATTTTTTTGAGTATTGTTTGATTATCTTAAACTCTTTAATTCTTTGTAATTCAAATTCTCTCATTAAATTTAGCACTTACATGCTACAAATTCATCTCCAACATATTCCTTGTTTGAATAATCTCAAATTGCTTTTGACGATTTGATAGTCATGATTTTGGTGAAAACATTTAGTGAGACTTAGATAAATAGACAACTCTTTACTTTTGCCTTCTTGATTTTTCTTTGTACGTCAATTTTCATTTGGGTTATAGTGAGATTGTTTGGCAGCACCCAATACAAACACCATGGCTTAGTTGTTTTTGTTTTCTTCATTTCTTAATTGTTGAAAGTTTAAGGTTTTAAAGAAACTAGTATCTAGGAAACACAGGTGAATGTAAACATTTGCTAAAAGTGCCATCTATAAGATTTTCAAATACATAATGGATAAATTTTTGTGTATTCCTCGCGACAAGTATTTCTTCCTCTAGAGGCATATCAACATCAATAAAATTTCTTCGTGTTTCTTACACGCGCATCTGATCTTATCCATGCTCCAATAGGAAGAAAAATGAGCATACAATAAATTTTCCAGATAATGACACGCCATAAACTAAAAATTAATTCTTTTTTTCTTTATTATTCTACTCATCTCTCTGTCTAATTATAATTAATCATATAGTTTCTTGCCATCAGTTGTATAGAATATCAAATCATGTACCGTTAATATGTCGTTATTACGTGAGGTAGAATATTCCACGAATTGCAAAATGAATATTACACATTATCATATATAACATGCGAAGCAAGCCTAGGAGAATGGTATGGTACCAGGAAAGTGTAGAATTATATATAAAACCTACGTAGGATTTGTCTTTAGAATTTTGTTTGTAATGTAAGTTTGTTTCAATCCGTCTTTGAATTCAGCTAACTTATTTGATCAAGTATATCCATATGGTGTCAAAGTAATCCTTTGAGCCCGAAATGATGACATCTAAATAATGGAAGGAAGACTATGCGGTATTCCTTGGCTTAAAGTTTAGGATGCTTATATTATTATTTTATGATTCGAGTAAATTATGAAGTTGCATAGTAAAATTTTTAATTAATTATTAGAAAGGTGTATAGTATATTGGAGATAATTAATAAATTAATTCTATATATATTTAATTGATGTATATTAATGTTGTGATAGATTCATATTCAAATTGTTTTATTCTTAAAAAAATACTTAATTTTCCTAATTTAAATGGTAAAATTCAAAAAATTTGTTATGTTATAAATTAATGTCTAAATTTGTTATTGATCTATGACCTTATATCATAATATAAAGTAGTTTATAGCATGATGAGTAAACTTATTGATTTTTAAAATAATTATTTTAAAAATTATTTTTAATTAATTGACAATGTAAAGATTTTACGTTGCCATAATCATTAAATCCTTATTTTATTTGATATAAATACCTGGGATTTTGCATATAAATTTAGCTGTGAAGGCACTTTCTTTCACATCGTTGCTCACCATCCATTAGTATTTTGAAATCTTACTCTTGTCTAATGTCAACAGCCGCTGATGATGGCGCTGCAATTGGGATTGTAATAATCTTTGGTAAGATTTTAACGTCTGATATATTTTGTTTTCATCTTATTTTATTCTGTTCTGTTGTAGTTTTCATTGGTTTGGTCACAAGATTTTTAACTGTGTATTGATATTTTGCAGTGGTGGTAGCAGTGAAGATATGTATTCTGATTTGTGTGTGCCGATTAAGAAATCAGAGTGATAGTAAATCAGTAAGTCCAGTTACACATTTTCTGACTCTCACTATTGACAAATTTCTGAATGACATGGAAAGGGAGAAGCCAATCAGGTTCACTGATCAACAGCTAAGGATTGCAACTGATAACTACTCTAACTTGTTGGGTTCAGGAGGGTTTGGAACAGTTTATAAGGGAATATTTACTAATGGGACCATGGTCGCTGTGAAGGTTCTACGTGGGAGTTCAGACAAGAAAATTGAGGAGCAGTTTATGGCAGAAGTGGGTACAATTGGAAGAATTCATCATTTCAATCTTGTTAGGCTTTATGGATTTTGCTTTGAAAGAAACTTGATAGCACTGGTTTATGAGTACATGGGGAATGGCTCTCTTGATAGGTATTTGTTCCAAGAAAAGAAGACCTTAGGATATGAAAAGCTTCATGAGATTGCGATTGGGACAGCAAGAGGCATTGCTTATTTGCATGAAGAGTGCCAACAAAGAATAATCCATTATGACATAAAACCAGGAAATATTCTCTTGGACAGGAATTTCAATCCTAAAGTTGCTGATTTTGGTTTGGCCAAGCTTTGCAATAGGGACAATACTCATATAACCATGACTGGAGGAAGGGGGACTCCTGGTTATGCTGCACCAGAGCTTTGGATGCCGTTTCCCATAACTCACAAGTGTGATGTTTATAGTTTTGGCATGCTGTTATTTGAAATCATAGGTAGGAGAAGAAATCTTGATGTTAAACTTGCTGAAAGCCAAGAGTGGTTCCCAATTTGGGTTTGGAAAAAAATTGATGCTGGATTACTTGGGGAGGTAATAATAGTCTGTGGGATAGAGGAGAAAAGTAAGGAGATTGCAGAAAGAATGGTTAAGATAGCTCTGTGGTGTGTTCAGTATAGGCCAGAATTAAGGCCCACAATGAGTGTTGTGGTGGAAATGCTTGAAGGTTCAGTGGAAATTCCAGAACCTGCGAACCCATTTCAGCATTTGATGGGTGGGACTTACATTGCTCATCCAGTCCAACAAGTGTCACAGACCTATAATACCACAAGTATTTCATCTGTTTCTTCTGTTATGGTAACAGACTCCAGCATTGTATGTGCTACTCCAATTATGAAGAAGTATGAGATTGAATTAGCCTCTAGCAACGTGTGATGGAGAACACATGCTACTTGATGAAAGTTGAAAGTTTTACACGGGTTAAAATAAGTTGTATAATACTTTCCATTCCACTATTGATTATATTGTATCCTTTTCAAATATGTATCTTTTTCTTGGTTTTGATAGTGTTCTTCCCCTTTTGCCTCCAAACATCATATAAAGTTGTACTAAATCGTGATTGAAAAAGAATTAATTATAAAGATGGGTAAAAATTCCTCTTTATGTACATCTTGTACATCGAACTTCGTAATAGCTTCTGTAGTTATTTTATTTCTAATCTTATTATGGACAAATTAAATCAGGATTCTTATTCCTCTTTCATCTTATACGCATTTGTGTTTATATTTTTGAACTAGCTTCAAGATGTCTGAATTTTGAAAACTACCAAACACAATCTTAAGATAGCTATCCATGTAACAGCTAAGGTGTTGAGTGAAACTAGCTTCAAGAATGTTAGCTTTGGAAAAGTAGAATATTAAGCTTTTGATGTATATTAATGGAGAATAAGAGGATCTGAAACAAGCCCAAAGCAAAGGTACACGTGGAGCTTTGAGGAAAATTGTCTCGGCAATTCAACAAAGTTTCAGGACATGTTATGCTAACGCTGCTATCTTGCATCTAAATACATTTTGCAGACAAGAAACAGAAAATCATTAAGGTTCCTATTGACTCTTGCTTCACACAGGAAAAATAGTTCATCTTGGTCAACTCATTCATACCGGTGATTATGAAACAAAAAGGAGAAAAATTAATTTTCTTCCCATTTACTCTCCCTCCCCTTCCCTCTCATATGAAACGAATCCACCACTGTGTGAGACATTTGAATCGAGGAAAGTGGGTAGCTAAGAAACAAAATAGAAGAAGTAAAATTTTCCAAGAGATAATGATGTTAATTAAAAAAGAATTAACATCATTATTAAGCTCTCCCTCTTTTAGTCGTTGTCATCTCTTAGTTTTCTCAGTCATGGAGTTCCTTGTCAGGCACTCTGGTAAATAGCTTGGAAAATGATGTTTAATCTTGATGTGTAGGTAGGTAAAAAAGAGTTCATGAACTTCCTTTGCCCTTGACCTTCTATATTAAATTGACAACAGCCTGGGTGGATGGTGCTAGGAAAGAGGAAATCTGAAACTTAGTATTTGTCGTTATTTTGTTCATGTAATTTTCTTTTTGGCCGTCTTGCAAGTTTGCTAGCCAGCTCATTCAACGAAGAATATCCATGCTCATATTAATATTTTATGATGGAGATCCGATATCGACTAATAATAAGTTCATTATAATGTATATAAGTGAGAAATAATTCTCACCTTAGATTTTATAAAATTATAAGTTAGGATGATTGTCGCTTCTTAAGAAGGTTTCAAAGTATATCATAGTTTATATTTTAACTATCTCAATGATTATTGATTGATGATAAGTTTATTAGGCTAACCCGTATTAGATGTCTAGTTCTTGGTGTAAGGGATGTATGTTGGAGATTTAATATTAGCTAGGGATAACGGTGTATATAAATGGGGAGCAATCCTCACTTAAGAATTTGCATATAAATCCAACATCCCATCCCCTATATCCACTACTATATTTTTGAATTCTTATCAACGAAATATTGTCAAGCATGGATGCTGTGGACAGCATAGCCATACTAGCTGGTAGTGGTAGGATTTAAACCAGTTAAATATTTCTGTTTTCTTCTTTTTCAATTCTATGTTGGTTTTTCATTGGTTTTGTCACAGTTTTTAACGGTGTATTAACGCATGTTGCAGCTTTGTTACTGTGGTTCATGATTGTTTGGAGTTTTGTTTTGTGTACAAGATCCAAGAAACAGACTGATAGCAGTCATAATTTTCTGACACTCACTATAGACAAATTTCTGAGTAATATGGAAAGAGAAAAGCCAATCAGATTTACTGATGAGCAGCTCATGATGGCAACTGATAACTACTCTACATTGTTAGGGTCAGGAGGTTTTGGCCAAGTTTATATAGGAAAGTTAAGTGACGGAACCACTGTGGCTGTGAAGGTTCTACGTGGGAACTCTGATAAGAGAATTCAGGAACAGTTTATGGCAGAAGTGGGTACAATTGGAAAACTTTATCATTTCAATCTAGTTCGCTTGTACGGATTTTGCTTTGAACAAGATCTCAGAGCACTGATTTATGAGTACATGGAAAATGGATCTCTTGACAGGTATTTGTTCCATGAAAAGAAGACTTTAGGATATGAAAAACTTTATGAGATTGCAGTTGGAACAGCCAGAGGCATTGCATACTTGCATGAAGATTGCAAACAAAGAATAATCCACTATGACATTAAACCAGGAAATATTCTTTTGGACAGCAACTTCAATCCTAAAGTTGCTGACTTTGGATTGGCTAAGCTTTGCAATAGGGATGATACTCATATAACTATGACTGGAGGTAGGGGCACTCCAGGTTATGCTGCACCTGAGCTTTGGATGCCATTTCCTGTTACTCACAAGTGTGATGTTTACAGCTTTGGAATGCTTTTATTAGAAATCATTGGCCGGAGAAGAAACCTTGACATTAACCTTCCAGCAAGCCAAGAGTGGTTCCCAGTTTGGGTTTGGAAACGATTTGATGCAGGAGAACTAGGAGAGTTAATAATGGCTTGTGGCATAGAGGAGAGGTGTAAGGACATGGCTGAAAGAATGGTTATGGTTGCTTTGTTGTGTGTTCAATATAGGCCAGAATCAAGACCAATGATGAGTGATGTGGTGAAAATGTTGGAAGGCTTAGTTGACATTTCTAAACCTTTGAACCCATTTCAGCATATGATGGATGCAATTTTCCCATGTCATTCTGTGCAAGAATCCCATATTGATGCTAGCACAAGTATTAATTCTATCTCTTCTGTTGTGGTAACTAAACCAGGCATTGTATATGATAGTCCTATTATGAGGAATGATGGCATTGAATTGGCCTCCACCAACTGTGATTAAAAAGACAGCCTATTTGATGAAAAGTTTTCCTTTGTTTAGAAAAGTTATGAAATATTTGTTTTCTACTATTGTAAATCTTTAATTGTCCTGTGTAGTATTTTGTTTATAAAAACAAAGAGAAAATGAGTGATGTAGAGTGGGAAAACTACTGATATTTTAGTAAAAGACTTTATATAAAGATTACAAACTATATCAAATTACAATCTTTTATTTTATAGGTATAACATTATTTAAAATTGAAAAAAAAGAAGAACTATTATAGTCTAACATTCAGAACATAAACAACTTATAGAAATATCTACAAATCATGACTTAATCAACTTTTATAGACATGTGTTCAATAAATATCCTCCTTGCCTTACTATTGAATTAATGTTGATAGAGTAAAAGTTGTTGTGAACGTCGGTTCTTATAAGGAGTCGCAATGTTAGAACTGTCATGTTGGGTAATTTAATATGGTACTCAAGTCTTGAAATTCTCCTACTTAATGAACTAGATTTTTAAGTTAAGCTCTAAAGTCCTAATAAGAATGCACACTCTACAAACTTGAAAGGCCGATACTGAAAAGTCCCTATTCTCTCGCAATTGACAAGATGACGTCTCCCCTTCTATTTTTAAGCATATCCTAGCTTATTTCTTCATACGGTTTGAGGAAATTTTTGATTAGTTTTGATGTAAATTTGATTGTAAAGATTCTTGTGGTTGTGGTTTTAGAGGAACTGTTAAGAGTGTTGCTATGGACCGGATGTAATTGATCTGTTTTCTCGCTAAACTTTTTTAAATTCTTGATCAAGTATATTTTCTTATTGCATTGCATTCACAAATTTGAAAAAAAAAGATCTTTCACCGTAGATTTGGTGTTTGTGATAAATTGCAACCTTTAAAGCGATGGTTTTGGAAAAATGCCATATATATAGTGAAAGGCATAGAGAAATATGCGATGGGAAAACAGAGAAAAATCATAGTAAAAGATAGAAGAAGAGGAAGAAATTAATGATGAAAGAGAAAATTAAAATCAGTTGAATAAGAGAGAGAAATGATGTTTTAAAGAAATTATCAAAATATCCATTACAATAAATTTATTAAAATAAAAGAAGGGTTCTCTTTTTGTCTAAAATTTTTGATGTGGATGGGTAACATATTTCAACAGGAAATAAGGTGAGAGTTTGTCAACAATCTTCATATATATATATATATATATATATATATATATATATATATAT